AGAATTTTTTGAATACAAACATTTTTTTATTTTGTTGTCTGAAATGACATTTCTTACAGGAAGGAAAGACAAAGTAGAGTTGATGAAAGATTTTTTCCAGACAGAAATTGAGTGATTTTAAATTGATGGCAAATAATGAAAATATCATCAAATTTGTTATATCATCAATATTTAAATTTTTTTTGATTTTTTTTTTTTTAGAACCTTTTACATGGAATCCATCAAATTATTAAAGGACTTCAAAATTTTCAACAAATTTCAAAAGGGTATTTGTAAATTCAATGTCAGCAATTTGATTCATAAAAAGATACCCAATCATGATTTGTCCGGCAATTTCTGTGAGCATAAAATTCAAAAATTTTTAAAAAATTAGACTGAAACATTTTGATTATTATTTCATTGGGGCAATAGTCTTCTGAGAGATAAGAAAAAACCTTTTTAAAACCAAAAAAAAATGAATAACAAAGGATTATGACTGCATTCACCAACTTAAACAAGGAGACCATCCGAAAAGGCATAGGAAATTCTGAAGTCATTGAAATATATTTTATAATAATGGTTTTTTTATTGAATTCATTTAATTTCAAGATATCTTTATTTATTTTGGTAAATTCTTTAAAATGAGATGTCATATTAAAAAAAATTTATAATAAAATGTTAAAATATCTTATATATTTATTATACAATATAATCACAACACACATTAAATAACACACACATATCATATGAATTAGTTTTCATTATATATTTAAATATATATACACACACACACACACACATATTTTTAAAATTAGTAAATTTTACCAATATATTTCAAATTAATGATATTTTTTTTATTTTCAGTCTAATATCATTTTGGAAATGGCATTAATTCAGTTTTCCATGCATTTCATACCAAATACATTGACAAGGAAAATGGAAATAAAAATTTTACAATGGTTGATATTTTTCAATGCTTGTCTCAACGTTTTTTTATTGATTATCTTACCTGTTCAGCCTAGTGAAAAAAAAAAAAAGTAAACGTGTGTTTTGCTTTTTTCATTGTCAACCTTATTAAGTTTTTTTTTATTGTTGCACATTATATACCATCATGTTTGTTTTGGAACCATCATTTAAATTTTTATTAACCCAAGTGATTTAAGGATTTTTGTTACTATACAAATGACTTTTTTACTCTCTTATATTAAATATTAGACACTTTATTAATAACCCATTTGCTTATATATAGTGTCCATATTTTCACTGCTTTGACATCTAATTTTCTCCTGCTGACATATTCCCTTGTGTTCTTATATCTTTGGTTATTTTTTTTTGACCTGACTGCAATAAAGTCTTTTTTTGTTAGACAATCCCACTTGTATTTTTCACACTTCCCTTGCCAAGATTTAACAAAAAGGGGATCTCTGAGAGGACATGAATTCTGTAGCCAATTTTTGCCTTTACAAAGCAAATTTGATTCAAAACAATCTAATCATTTTAAGAGTTTGTTGGATTAGATGATAAAGAGTTGATAATTATTTTTTTACACAGTATAAATTCTATTAGTTTTTGACAATGATTTGAAGTTTTCTGAAATTATTTTTTCATTTCATTTCTAATTACAATGTTATTTTATTGTATTCATTTATACTCTTTTTCTTCTCTATTTTATTTTTTCATTTCTTGGTCTTTTACTTTCTTTCTTTTCTTATTTTTCTTTTTTTCTGTTTTCCTTTCTATTTTTTTTTCTCTATTTTTTCTTGGCTCTTTTTTTTTTTTTTTCTTATATTTCCTGTCTTTTTCCTTCTGGAATTTTTCTTTTTTAATTTTCCCTTCTTTCTTTTTTTGCTTTTTTTCCCCTTCTTTTCTTTTTTTTTTTTCCCCTTCTTTCTTTTCTTGCTTGAACATTCTTTTCTTTCTTTTCTTGCTTTTTCCCTTCTTTCTTTTTCTTGCTCTTTTTGTGATTTTTTTTATTCAAAATTTTTTTTTTTTTATTTTATTTTTTTTATTTTTTCTGTTTTTTTTTTTTTTTTTATTTTTCTTCTTTTAATTGTTTTGTTTTTTTCTTTTTTTCTTTTATTTTCTTCTTTTTGCTTTTCTTTTTTTTTCATTTATTTTTTTTTTTTTTTTATTTTCTTTTTTTTGTTTATTTTTTTCTTCCTTTCTTTTTTTATTTCTAGATTTAAAATTTTTTTTTTCTTCTTTTAAAAAAAACTTTTCTTTAATTTTCTTATCCATTTTCTTTCACATTTGTTTTTTTTTTTTTAATATAACATTTTTTTTTTTTTATTGTTCTTTTTTTCCCATTTCTTTTTTATTTCTTTTTCCTTATATTCTTTTTTCATTTTCTTATGCTTTTTTCTCTTCCTTCTTCTTTTGTTTCCTGTAAATTTTATCTTGGTTTTCTTATTCTTCTAATTTTTCTTTTATTCTTTCCCATTTTGCTTTGTGTCTTTTCTCTCTATTATAAATCAATTTTCCTTCAATCTTTTTTCTCATATCATTCTGTTTCTTCCTCCATTTTAGTTTTTTTGCTTTGTATATTTCACTTGTTCTCATTTTTTTTTTCACCATGTTCTTCTCTTTCTTTTAATTTTATTTCTTTTTCTGTTTTTCTTTCTATTTTTCCTTCTTTTTTTTTTCTTTTCTTTACTATGAAAAAGAAGAATTCTGAAACTTGATGTATCTCTTGCACAACCCAAAAGACATTCCAGCAAAAAAAAAATAGCTTGTTTGATCATATTTTAAGTAGTGTATTAGGCCAAGAACTTTTTATTCAACAATATATATTTAGAAGAGAAAGAGAGAGAGAGATTGGTAAATCAAAATAGGTGACAAGGTATGTCGGTTTAATTTTTATTGCATTTATCCAGTTTGCATATGTTATCACATATCCGGATCAAATTTATGGAGAAAATGGCCATAGTTCATGATGTTTTTGTTTGAATGCTTTTGACCATCACAAGTCATTATCAGGAACATTAATGTTATCAGTTATAATCAAGAACTTTGAACAGTTCCACCATAAATTTGATCTGTTGCATGAGACAACGTATAAGTAAATTGAAAAATGCAATAAAAATAAAACAGTCATACCTTGTGGGTTAATCTCTGTAACATATTTGAATGATTTTCTTTGCCTTAAATATACATTATATAAAATGAGTTGCACCAGGTAATTGAGAACAGATTATAATATGAAGAAAAGATATCTAACAGAAAAAAATTGGTATATTCTTTAAAATATTTGTATGCATGATCAACTGAAAAAAACAGAATATTCAATAAAACTGCCCTTAGCCTCAAGTGATTCCATGCACATGTTGGGGGATTTTCATCCATTTTGGCCATCAAATCTGTAACGAGCTCCTTGGGGTTAATGGTTATTGCTGAAAGAATCTGTCAAGTGTGAAGCTTGGGCTGTTGCTTTGGATATCTTGAAGGCATTTGACATGCTGGTCTTCTTAAAAAGGTTCTGGTATATATGGACACGTTTTTGATTTGATTCAATATGTCTTATCAAATCCTGAAATAAAAATTATGTCACTTTTCTCTTTTTACATTAATGTGGGTGTACCCCATGCCTCTATACTTGGACCTATTTTTCTTCCTAATTTTATCAATGACCTTCCTTGTCATTAATTTTATCAATGACCTTCCTGATGTCATTAGTTTTGACTTGGTATATATGCTGGTAACACAACTATCAGTCTTAATGGTAATTCTAAAAGGCCAAATTCACCCCACTGATCTAAAAAATGACATTCAATCTGTTGTTAACTGGTGCAAGAAATAGCTTGGTAATTTTAATGCCTTCAAAACAAAACTGCTCTCTTTTAATCATCTGAAAGAACCTTTTCACTTTCCCACAGTATGGCTGATGCTAATCTCCAGAAGATTGACCCATTGTGCTTACTTGGGCTAATGTTTTCCAATGAAATGAAGAGGAAAGATGATATTGAATAAATTGCTAGATCTGCTGCTAGGGATGTTGTCTCACTGTTTTATACGAGATCATTTTACTTGAAGGAATTTACTTACACCTTATATAATACATACTGTTGACATATCTAGTCTTGTAGTTCTACCATGTAGTTAGAGATTCTTGATAAAATCCAAAGAAGAATCTGCAATTTTATCAGTCCTAACCAGGTATAACAAAAATAGTAGAAGCTCTAGACCAGATGTATCAGCAATATTCAATGCATTGAGAAATGGTAGACTTATAAAGGTGTAAGATAGACTCTTTGATGAAAATTGTCTAGATGTAACTATATGTTCTAGTTTCTTCTATCACACTTCCCACTTGCAGAACTCTCTTCTGGCCTGTTGCTTTCAAGTTAAATTTGATCTTCAAAAATTTAAATACTATGTCAATCTTCTGTCTATTTAATTGCTGTTCTTTTATTGGCGTCTACTTAATACCCTTTGTGTCTTAGTGTTTTCTCCTCTTGCTTGAGGTGAAATGATTAAAAAAAACTTGATTCAGAATAAACTTAACTAGGAGATTTATATCCCAGAATTCATTGTAGAAGAAGTACAAGGCTCAACCCTAGCAAAAAATATGTTAATAAAACTGAACTTTCTTTTTTTTTGGTGACAAAATTTAATTTTATGAACTATTTCCAAATTCCTCAGAAAAGATGTTAGAATTCAAATCCTTTTGATCTTTGACTCATTTGTTTGTTAATTGACAAATATAGAATTCAAATCAATAAATTTGAAAAGGCTTGATGTTGTATATTTACATTGATTTCTTTTGGGCTTTGCATGTTTTTTTTTCTTTCCTAACTAAATTCCTATTTTTTTTTGTTAATTTTTTGTCCCCACCAACTCTCATATATATATTTTTTTATTTATTTAAGGTTTTCCTCTCTCTTTCTGATAGTTTCTTTAGCTTTTATTCTTTCTCTACTGTTTCTTTGTTACTTTCACATGCAATAGGTTTCTATAGTTTTGTTTTTAACCCTTTCTTTTCTTATAGTTTCTTTGTTTCTTTTATTTTGTTTTTTCTTCCATAAATGTTGTTTTTATTTGACTTTTTCTATATATTTTTTTTATATTACCATTGCTTTTTTTTCTTTTTTTTCAAATTTCATTTTCTTCATTCCTTATTCCAAGAGATCCTTCTTTTTTTCTTTTACTTTTTTTTTTTTTATATCCATTTCTTTTTTTTTTTATTTTTTTGTTTTTTTTTCTTCATTCCTTACATGACAGTATTGTCCTTCTTTTTTTCTTTTTTACTTTTCTTTTATATTACCATTATTGTTTCTTTTTATTTTTGTTTTGTTTTCTTCATTTCCTTACATGACAGTATTGTCTTTTCTTTTTTTTTCTTTGATTTTTCTTTTTTATATTACCATTACTTTCTTTCTTTTATTTTTTGTTTCTGTTTTCTTCATTCCTTACATATTTAGTATTGTCCTTCTTTTTTTCTTTGACTTTTTTTTGAGATATTACCATTGCTTTGTTTCTTTTTTTTTTTTTCGTTTTCTTCATTCCTTACATGACAGTTCTTGTTTTTCTTTTTTTTCTTTTATTTTTCCTTTTTCTTTTCTTTTATTTTTTTTTTTTTTCTTCATTTTGTGACAGTTTTCCTCTTTTTTCTTTATTTTTCTTTTATTTTCCTTTTCTTGATTTTTTGTTTTTTTTCTTTACACATTGTCCAACACAATTTTTCTTTTTTTTTTGACTTTTTCTTTTTTTTGTTTTTTTTCATTTTTCTTTTTTTCTTCTTTATTTTATTGTTTTTTTTTTCTTATTTTTCTTTTTTTTTCATTTTTCTTTTTCTTGACAGTATTTCCTTTTTTTCTTTTCTTTCTTTCTTTTTTTTTTTTCGTTTTCTTCATTCCTTAATGACAGTATTTCCTTCTTTTTTCACTTTTCTCCAAAAATTCCATTTTTTTTTTTTTTTTTTTCGTTTTCATTCCCTTTTGACAGTATTTTCCTTTTTTTTTTTATTTTTCTTTTTTTTATTACCATTACTTTTTCTTTTATTTTTATTTCGTTTTCATTGTCTTTCAAATGTTTTTTTTTTTTTTGATTTTTTCTTTTTATTTTACCATTGCTTTGTTTCTTTTCATTTTGTTTTGTTTTCTTCATTCTTTTCCCAGTATTGTTTTCTTTTTTTCTTTGTCTTTTCTTTTTATATTCCATTCTTTTTCTTTTCTTTTATTTTTTTTGTTTAATTTTTTTTATTTCTTTTTACTTTGACTTTATTATTTTCCTTTTTTTTTCTTTTTTTTTTTTATATCTTTATGACCCTTTTTTTTTTTTATTTTTTTTTCTTTTTTTTAAATTCTTTTACATGACAGTATTTTTTTTTTTTCTTTTGACTTTAAGGCATTTTTTTTTCTTTTTTTTTTTTTTTTACTTTTTTCTTTTTTAGTTTCATTTTTCTTCATTTTTTTTATTTTTTCTTTTTCTTCATTTTTCTTTTTCTTCCATTTTTGTTTCTTTTTTTCTTCCCATTTAATTGACAATTATTGTCCTTTTTTTTTTTGACTTTTCTTTTTATATTACCATTTCTTTTTTTCTTTTTTTTTGTTTCGTTTTTCTTCATTTTTTACATGACAGTATTATCCTTCTTTTTTTTTTTTTCTTTTTTATTACATTCATTACTTTTCTTTTATTTTTGTTTTTTTTTTCTTCATTCTTTTCAGTATTGTCCTTCTTTTTTCTTTTATTTTTTTTTTTAAAACCTTTTTTCTTTTATTTTTTTTATATTATTTCCATTCAGTATTGTCCTTCTTTTTTTTTTTATTTTTTTTTTATTTTTTTTCTTTACTTTTTTCAAGTATTTTCCTTTTACTTTTTCTTTTTTTATAAAGTTCTTTTTTTTTTTTTTTTTTTTTTTTTATATTACCATTTCTTTTTTTTTTTTTCTTTTTTTTTTTATTTTTTTTTTCTCTCACATGACAGTATTGTCCCCTTCTTTTTTCTTTTATTTTTTCTTTTAATAGTATTCTTTTTTCTTTTATTTTTTTTTCATTTTTTTTATTCACATCCATCCATTTTCTTCTTTGTCCTTCTTTTTTTTTTTTGCTTTTTCTTTTATAAGTCTTCAAAGTATCCTTTTGTTTATTTTTACTTTTCTTTTTTATTTTTGTTTCTTTTATTTCATTTCCCTAAATCCAATTTTCCTTTTTTTTTCTTTTTTTTTTTTTTTTACTCTTCCATTGCTTTGTTTCTTTTATTTTTGTTTCGTTTTTCTTCATTCCTTACATGACAGTATTGTCCTTTTTTTTTTTTATTTTCTTTTTTATATTACCATTGCTTTGTTTCTTTTATTTTTGTTTCGTTTTTTTTTCTTCATTCCTTACATGACAGTATTGTCCTTTTTTTTTTTTCTTTGACTTTTTCTTTTTTATTTTACCATCATCTTTTTCTTTCTTTTTTTTTTTGTTTCGTTTTCTTCATTTTTTTTTTTATTTTCTTCATTTAATTGTCCTTTTTTTTTTCTTTTTTTCTTTTTCTTTTTATATTTCTTTTATTTTTTTCTTTTCTTTTTCTTTTTTTTTTTTTTTTTCTTTTTTTCTTTTTTCATAAGTTTATGACAGTATTTTTTTTTTTCTTTCTTTTTTCTTTTTATATTACCATTATTTTGTTTCTTTTATTTTTGTTTCGTTTTCTTCATTCCTTACATGACAGTATTGTCCTTCTTTTTTTTACTTTTCTTTTTTTTTATATTACCATTATTTTTCTTTTTTTTATTTTTGTTTTTTTTCTTCATTTCCTTACATGACAGTATTGTCCTTCTTTTTTTTTTTTTTTCTTTTTTTATTACCATATTTTGTTTCTTTTTTTTTTTTCGTTTTCTTCATTCCTTACATGACAATTATCCTTCTTTTTTTTTTGACTTTTTCTTTTTATATTACCATTGCTTTGTTTTTTTTTTTTGTTTGTTTTCTTCATTCCTTACATGACAGTATTGTCCTTTTTTTTTTTTCTTTTTTTTTTTTTATTACCATTGCTTTCTTTTCTTTTATTTTTGTTTTCTTCAAGGAGAATTCCTTACATGACAGTATTGTCCTTTCATTTTTTTTTTTTTTTTTTTCTTTTTTATATTACCATTAATTTGTTTCTTTTATTTTTTTTGTTTCGTTTTTCTTCATTCCTTACATGACAGTATTGTCCTTTTTTTTTTTTTTGACTTTTCTTTTATATTACCATTGCTTTGTTTCTTTTATTTTTGTTTCGTTTTCTTCATTCCTTACATGACAGTATTATCCTTTTTTTTTTCTTTTTACTTTTTTTTTTTATATTACCATTTTTTGTTTCTTTTATTTTTGTTTCGTTTTTTTCTTTTCCTTTTGACAGTATTGTCCCTTTTTTTTCTTTTCTTTTTCTTTTTTATATTACCATTGTTTTGTTTCTTTTATTTAAGAAAATTTTTTTTTTCCTTATGACAGTATATATTCCCATTTTTTCTTTATTTTTTTTTTATATTACCATTCCTTTTTTTTTTTATTTTTTTTTTTTTCTTCATTATTACATTATGACCCATTTTTTTCTTTTTTCTTTTGTCATTTTTTTTTTTTTTATTTTTTAAAAAATTTTATTTTTTTTTGTTTTTTTTTCTTATATCCAATGACATTATTATTTTTTTTTTTTTTTACTTTTTCTTTTTATATTACCATTGCTTTTTTTCTTTTATTTTTGTTTTCGTTTTCTTCATTCCTTATATGACAAAAATTGTCCTTCTTTTTTTTTTTACTTTTCTTTTTATATTACCATTCCTTTGTTTTTCTTTTATTTTTGTTTCGTTTTCTTCATTCCTTAGATGAAGTATTTTTTTCTTTTTTTTTTTTTTTGACTTTTTTTTTTATATATTCACCATTGCTTTTTTTCTTTTATTTCTTTTTCGTTTTCTTCTTTTTTTACATGACAGTATTTTTTTTTTTTTTTTTTTTTTTTTTTTATATCCATTGATTTCTTTCTTTCTTTTTATTTTTGTTTGTTTCTTCATTCCTTTTGACAGTTTATTGTTTTTTTTTTCTTTTTTTTTTTTTTCATATTATTTTTTGCTTTTTTTTCTTTTATTTTTTTTTTGAATTTTTCTTCATTTTTACATGACAGTATTGTCCTTCTTTTTCTTTTATTTTTTTTTTTATATTACCTTTTTTTTTCAAGCAAGGCATTTTTGTTTCGTTTTTCTTCATCTTTTACATGACAGTATTTTTGTTTTTTTTCTTTTTGATTTTTTCTTTTTTATATTACCATTTGCTTTGTTTTTTTTATTTTTGTTTCGTTTTTCTTCATTCCTTACATGACAGTATTGTCCTTCTTTTTTTTTCTTTTACTTTTCTTTTTATATATTACCATTGTTTCATTTTCTTTTATTTTTTTTTTGTTTTCTTCATTCTTTACATGACAGTTTTCTTTTTTTTTCTTTACTTTTTTTTTTTTATTACCATTTCTTTTTTTCTTTTTTTTTTGTTTCATTTTTTTTTCATTCCTTACATGACAGTATTGTCCTTCTTTTTTTCTTTTACTTTTTCTTTTTATATTACCATTTCTTTTTTATTTTTTTTTTTTTTTCTTTTTTTTTTTTTCTTTTTCCTTCTTTTTCTTTTTTTTTTTTTTTATTCTTTTTTTTTTCTTTTATTTTGTTTTCTTTTTCCTTTCATTTTTTTTGTCCTTTTTTTTTTTTTTTTACTTTTCTTTTTATTACCATTGCTTTGTTTTTTTTTTTATTTTTTCGTTTTTCTTCATTTTTTTAAGTATTTTCCTTCTTTTTTTCTTTGACTTTTTCTTTTTTATATTACCATTGCTTTGTTTTCTTTATTTTTGTTTCGTTTTTTTCATTTTTACATGACAGTATTGTCCTTTTTTTCTTTTTTTTTTTTTTTTATATTACCATTTTTTGTTTTTTATTTTTTGTTTCGTTTTCTTCATTCCTTTGACAGTATTGTCCTTCTTTTTTTTTTTTTTTTTTTTTTTTTTTTACCATTGTTTTCTTTTTTTTTTTTTTTGTTTCATTTTCTTCATTCCTTCACATGACAGTATTGTCCTTCTTTTTTTTTTACTTTTTCTTTTTTATATTACCATTGCTTTGTTTTTTTTTTTTTTTTTTCGTTTTCTTCATTCCTTACATGACAGTATTTTTTTTTTTTTTTCTTTGATTTTTTTTTTTTATATTACCATTGCTTTTTTTTGTTTTTATTTTTGTTTTTTTTCTTCATTCCTTACATGACAGTATTTTTTCTTTTTTCTTTTTTTTTTTTTTTTTTCTTATTTTTATTTCTTTTATTTTTTTTTCTTTTTCTTCATTCCTTTTTTGACAGTATTTCCTTCTTTTTTCTTTTTCTTTTTTTTTTTTTTTTTTCTTTGTTTCTTTTATTTTTGTTTCGTTTCTTCATTCCTTAAATTTTTTGTCTTCTTTTTTTTTTTTTCTTTTTTTTTTTTTATATTACCATTGCTTTCTTTTCTTTTATTTTTGTTTCGTTTTCATTCATAATCATTTAGTTTTGTCCTTCTTTTTTTCTTTTTTTCTTTTTTATATTACCATTCTTTGTTTCTTTTATTTTTGTTTCGTTTTCTTCATTTCTTTTTTTATCAGTATTGTCCTTTTTTTTTTTTTTTTTCTTTTTTATATTACCATTGCTTTTTTTTCTTTTTATTTTTGTTTCGTTTTCTTCATTCCTTTATGACAGTATTGTCCTTCTTTTTTTTCTTTTTTTTTTTTTTTTTATATTACCATTTGCTTTTGTTTCTTTTTTTTTTTTTTTTCTTCATTCCTTTCATTTCAGTATTTTCTTTTTTTTTTTTTTTTGACTTTTTCTTTTTTATATTACCATTCTTTTTTTTCTTTTATTTTTGTTTCGTTTTTTGAAGAAAAAATATGACAGTTTATTGTTTTTTTTTTTTTACTTTTTTCTTTTTATTTACCATTTGCTTTTTTTCTTTATTTTTTGTTTCGTTTTCTTCATTTTTTGACAATATTGTCCTTCTTTTTTTTTTTATTTTTCTTTTTATATTACCATTTTTTTCTTTTCTTTTTTTTTTGTTTAATTTTTCTTCATTCCTTTTATGACAGTATTGTCCTTTTTTTTCTTTGACTTTTTTTTTTTTATTACCATTGCTTTGTTTCTTTTTTTTTTTTTTTTTTTTCTTCATTTTTTCATGACATTATTGTTTTCTTTTTTTTCTTTGACTTTTTTCTTTTTTATATTACCATTGTTTTTTTTTTTATTTTTTGTTTCGTTTTTCTTCATTCCTTTCATGACAGTATTTACCTTTTTTTTTCTTTTTTTTTTTTATATTACCATTGCTTTCTTTCTTTTTTTTGTTTCGTTTTCTTCATTCCTTATGACAGTATTGTCCTTCTTTTTTCTTTGACTTTTTTTTTTTTTTATTACCATTGCTTTCTTTCTTTTTTTTGTTTGTTTTCTTCATTTTACATGACAGTATTGTCCTTCTTTTTTTTTCATTTTTTTTTTTTATATTACCATTTCTTTCTTTCTTTTTTTTTTTTTCTTTTTCTTCTTTTTTTATATTTTTTTTTTCTTTTTTTCTTCTTTTTTCTTTTTCTTTTTTTTTTTATTATTTTTTTCTTTTTTTCTTTTTTTTTTGTTATTTTTTTTTTAATTTTTATTTTTTTTTTTTTTTTCTTTTTTCTTTTTTTTTCTTTTATTTTTGTTTCATTTTTCTTCATTCCTTACATTTTTATTTTCCTTTTTTTTTTAAACTTTTTTTTTTATTACCATTGCTTTCTTTTCTTTATTTTTTTTTTTTTTTTTTTTTCATTTTTTTTTTTCTTTTTTTTTTTTTTTTTACCATTTTTTTTTTTTTTTGTTTCGTTTTCTTTTTTTTTTGACATTATTGTCCTTCTTTTTTTTTTTTTTTTTTTTTTTATTACCATTGCTTTTTTTTTATTTTTGTTTCTTTTTTTTCATTCCTTTATTTTATTATTGTCCTTCTTTTTTTCTTTTACTTTTTTTTTTTATATTACCATTGCTTTTTTTTTTTTTTTTTTTTTCGTTTTCTTTTTTAGAAATACAGTATTGTCCTTTTTTTTTTTTTTTTTCTTTTTTAGAATTTTTTTCTTTTATTTTTTTTTCGTTTTTTATTTTTTTACATGACATATTGTCTTCTTTTTTTTTTTTTTATTTTTCTTTTTATATTACCATTATTTTCTTTCTTTTTTTTTGTTTTTTTTTTCTTCATTCCTTACATGACAGTATTGTCCTTTCTTTTTTTCTTTTTTTTTTCTTTTTATATTACCATTCTTTTGTTTTTTTTTTATTTTTGTTTCATTTTTCTTCATTCCTTACATCTTTTTATTTTCCTTCTTTTTTCTTTACTTTTTCTTTTTATATTACCATTGCTTTTTTTTTTATTTTTTTTTTTTTTTCATTCCTTTTTCTTTGACAGTATTGTCCTTCTTTTTTTCTTTTCTTTTTTCTTTTTTATTACTTTTGCTTTCTTTCTTTTATTTTTTGTTTTTTTTTCTTCATTCCCTTACATGACAGTATTTCCTTTTTTTTTTTTGACTTTTCTTTTTATTTTCAGAATTTGCTTTCTTTCTTTTATTTTGTTTTTATCTAAACATGACAGTTTTTTTTTTTTTCTTTTATTTTTTTCTTTTTATATAACCATTTTTAATTTTTTTTTTTTTTTCGTTTTCTTTTAATTTTTACATTTAAGTATTGTTTTTTTTCTTTTTTAATTTTATATTACCATTTCCTTTTTTTCTTTTATTTTAGTTTCGTTTTTTTCATTCCTGACATTTTTCCAAATCTTTTTTTTTTACTTTTTTTTTATTACCATTGCTTTCTTTTCTTTATTTTTGTTTCGTTTCTTCATTAGCCAAACAGTATTTCCTTTTTTTTTCTTTACTTTTTTTTTTTTTATATTACCATTGCATTCTTTCTTTTATTTTTGTTTCGTTTTCTTCATTCCTAACGTCGGTACTGTCCTTCTTTTTTTCTTTTCTTTTTCTTTTTATATTACCATTTTTTGTTTCTTTTATTTTTGTTTCGTTTTCTTCATTCCTTTGACAGTATTGTCCTTCTTTTTCTTTTTTTTTCTTTTTATATTACCATTGCTTTCTTATTTTATTTTTTTCGTTTTCTTCAATTTACATGCCTGTATTCTCTTTTTTTTTTCTTTTGACTTTTTTTCTTTTTATATTACCATTGATTTTGTTTCGTTTTTCTTTTTATTTTTTGTTTCGTTTTCTTCATTCCTTTCATGACATATTGTATTTCTTTTTTTTTTACTTTTCTTTTTATATTACAATTGTTTTTCTTTCTTTTATTTTTTGTTTCGTTTTCTTCATTTCTTACATGACAGTATTGTCCTTTTTTTTTCTTTTACTTTTTTTTCTTTTTTATATTACCATTGTTCCCTTTCTTTTATTTTTGTTTCGTTTTGTTTTCTTCATTTCCTTCTTTTATTTGACAGTATTGTCTTTCTTTTTTTTTTTTTATTTTTCTTTTATACAGTGTTGTCCCCTTCTTTTTTTCTTTCTTTTTCTTTTTATTTTTTGTTTCTTTGTTTTGTTTCATTTTCTTCATTCATGACAGTATTGTCCTTCTTTTTTCTTTTACTTTTTTTTTTATTCTACCATTGCTTTCTTTCTTTTATTTTGTTTCGTTTTCTTCATTCCTTACATGACAATGTTGTCCTTCTTTTTTTTTTGATTTTTTCTTTTTATATTACCATTGCTTTTTTTTTTTATTTTTGTTTGCTTTCTTCATTCTTTATATCACTGTATTGTCTTTCTTGTTTTCTTTTACTTTTTCTTTTTATATTACCATTGCTTTCTTTCTTTTATTTTTGTTTCGTTTTCTTCATTCCTTACATGACAGTATTGTCCTTCTTTTTTCTTTGACTTTTTCTTTTTATATTACCATTGAGACAATATTTTCTTTTATTTTTGTTTCGTTTTCTTCATTCCTAAAAATCTGTATTGTCCTTCTTTTTTTTGACTTTTTTCTGAAAATAAAAACGGAACTTTCTTTTAACAATTGTAAACAATTTTTCTTCATTCCTTACCTAGTATTGTTCTTTTTTTCTTTGACTTTTTCTTTGCATTTTGATTTTGCTTTATTTCTTTTATTTTGTTTTTTTCAATTTTTCCTTACTTATATTCCTTTTTTTTGACTTTTTTTCTTTTTTAGTCTCCAATGGTTATATCTTTAAATTTAAACCAACTCGCATATTCATAAAACAACAGTACCAAGTTTAAATTTTAAATAAACTGAATGTTTTAATGCAATAGTTTCATTTACGATACAAATTATGTAACTTTCTAAAATTACAAAAATCCTAACGTCAGAAGTAAGTATGAAACAAAAGGAGTGTGTATATGTGTGTATATATATATATATATATATATATATATATATATATATATATAATCCACAGACAGAATGTTTATGCAGCTCATCAGTGCGGCTACACATCCGGTTGCCTCTATTAGATTGAAACCCGATGACTTGGTGTCAGTCGGAGATTCTAAATGATAGCCATCGGATTTTTAGCCAATTTATTTTTAGAAACAAATATTTTGCAGTGACCGACAGTGACTCGATTCGCTTTTGAGAAGAGTCTCGAGATATATATATATATAAAAATAAAATAAAAAAGGCTTAAACACTAATATTCCATGGTCATAATTTATTCCATTGGAATCGTAAATACGATCCAATTCATCAGAACAAATTCAAAAATTTTGAGCATGGAATATTAGTGTTTAAGCCTTTTATTATATCCTATCTGTCCTGGACATTGAGTTCTACCTGGATTCTTCCTCTTTTTTTTTTATTCTAAAAAATACATGTATGGGTATTTATATTTTTATACGTATGTATATTTACCACTAATATTATCTATTCCCAATTACTTTTTAGAATAATTCAACAAAGATGTTTTCACGTCAGTTTATTTTAGTAAAAACATCCGAAGTTTCAAATCAATCAATGAGAAAAACGAGCAGTGTCAATTGAAAGTTGTGAGGGGGACACATCTCCTGGGATTGGATTTAAGAGAAAGAGGCCTGATCCAAACCTGGGAAGATTGATTGATCGAGCAGTAGGATAGATGATAGACGGCTTTTTTATTTTGTCCGCTTAGATAGATGAACAGAATTTTGCTAACGAGACAAAGTTCAGGAGCGTGGATCTAGCGCTTTTCGGTGACGTCAATTTAGTAAAAATACGATGTCTCACACGGAATTGGAATTCGTGTTTTAGAATTGTGTATATAACCATGTTGATCTCCATTATTGCTAATTTAGGTTCATTTTATTTTTTTACAGGGGACACACATATATATATATATAGGATATATATATATATAAATATATAGTATGAAAATTGAAAAAATCCTTAGTTCTTATATATGGTTTGTCTTATGATTTATCAACATAAAGCACAGGAAAAATGAAATGTTTTATAGCCATAATTACACCAAATCTAACGTCTTTTTTTTTTTTTTAATTATGGATTTAATGTAACTATGGTTACAAAACATTTTATTTTTATAGCTTGCCTTGATGAAGTCGGATGCAATATAAGATTTCGGAAACAAATTGTCATATATATATATATATATATATTTAACGATATAGAATTTTTATATATCAAGAACAATATTCGTGAAAATGTTTGACAAATTGGAAAAGTTTTCGTGTGACGTGATTCGTCCTTTAGGACTTCATTAGGACAATCGAATGTTCGTGTGAAACTACACATGCGCACAAACAAAGAATGCAAAATTTTAAATTAATATTTTCTGATATAATGTAGCCGATTTCATTTACATTTTTTTTTTTCGTTTTCATCACTTATCATTATTAGATATCCCACATTGTGATAGAAGATCTACCAGGAATGTGACATTTAACGATTCTTCCTTTCTTTTCCTCACACTTAGAACAATATCATTCAGTAAGCCTCTACCTTGAGAGGATTCTTCCCTACGAAGGAATGAGAGAAGAGAACGTTATCTCTTATAGAATAATATCATAAAACAAGCATGACTCGAAACTTCAAAGGAAATTTGAAATGAACAAACATTTATTACATAGAAAAAAACAATGAACAAAATAGGCTTACCCAAAAATTTCATCTTGTGCGCCTTAATTATTAACAAGGCAAGATAACCAGTTTAATATAAAATATTATGAGCTCTTAAAAGATATACAATTAAAACTTCTAATAATAGAAAAACCTTGAATTAATATAAAAACTTTTAATGTTCAAAACAGACTTTCAAAAAAGATGTTTCCATCTAAATGAAAGACGAAAAACAGATGTTGCTATAGTAAGGTCACTTGTCATTAGAACTTTTAACAATTATGATTTTGTTTGTTTTAGGTGATTTGCTTATATTCTGGATTATACTGACTTCCCAAATAGATCTAGTCTTTTTTTTTTTTCTTTTTTTTTAGCAGTTCAGTTATACAGAGAGAATTGTATGGCGCTAATCTTCCAAGTAGTCATCATTAATTACTAAAAAACAATTTGGAACTTTGAGGGAGAATAATCCATGAGATATTTAAAAGAAACTGAGTAGGATACAGGGATATAGTAGTCGTTCAAACTAGTGACTTCAAACCATTATGTCTAACGTTTACTAAGCTAAGTTTATAAACAATAAGTGGTGAAATGGAATGAAAACACATCAAATTCGAAATTTGTGCTCGTAACTGAGCGAACAAATAAAAAATATACGTAACTATAATCACGAAACCGGTCACAAACTAAACCTCCACTTTGGTCTGGAGTTTAAAAAATCCACGAAGACTGCATGTAGTGTAAATTTTTTTTTCTATCTCCTAATTTTTGATACTGTTTCAGGGGCGCTTTCCAAATACACTGCGATAAATATTTATCATTCTCTTCTTGCTTTTCCGCATTACGACAACATGTGAAGTTCTCGCAGAAGAACGCGATTATAAAGCGTTCCTTTTATTGGGAAGGGAACGCATGAACAATATATACACACGTACGCACATTCACTCAAATAACTTCAAAAATATTTTTGACCAAAAGTTTCCCACGCCAAAATTTGTTATACACGTTGTCTTTTTCAATTGTAACCCTTTGTTGTTAATACGTTAAATTTATTTTTGAACATCGGTTCTGGCTTTTTTTTTTTACTTTTTTTGTGTGTTCATACTCTGAGTCTGCAATGTTTGTTGTGGCATTTCAGGAGATTTTTTTATTTTTTTGTACACCGGCTTGCAAGATATGGCACAAAAGGCTTTTAACATGGTTTAACGTTTATCCTCGAGAATTTGCCTTTTTTATTGGTATGTCTCGGACATCAAACTTGAACGTAATTATATCCCTTTAAAATGCATTGAAGATTTTTTGAGAAGAAAAGCTTAAATTTGAGGTTCGATATATCGCTGGTTACGAATAATAAAATGGAGTTCCTCAAAAAAATCAATGACCAGAAAACAATTAAGAAAAAAAATGAAGAAAAATATTTTTCTTCTTATAGATCTTTTAAAATTACGTAAATTAGATTTGAAGCCATATAAAACGTTGATGTAACTAGATTTGTGTATAAATTCTCATGAAGACTTTGATATTTTATATAAAAAGAATGGCGGGAAATGTCAAAATGAAAGACATTCTATTTCGAAGGCTGAAAAGATTAAGAATTTCTTTCGAGGTGGTTTACAGGCACCGTATTTCAAAGAATCTTAATTGAAAGCTTTCGCACTAAATCCTGTAACTCGCTTGCATAACTTTTGCCTTCAGTTCAGTTCTTAATGCATTAATATTTATATAACGTAAATGTCTTTACAAAACAACTCGCCATCTGCCATGTTTTTAAGCTCGTCAGATATACCAAATCTCGTGATTTTTTTTTTGACATCTTCTCTCTCTCTTCACTGCATTTCTGGATACAGGGAAACGTCGATTATTCGAACGACACGAGAGGGTGTTATTTTCTCGAATAATTGATTATATATAACTGATCTGATCATAAAAAAAATTAGTTTTTTGAATACGTTTAAAAAAATATATATATAAACAGTTCGTTTAGAGGAATTGCTTTATTTAATCGATACAATAAATAGAAAAATATTGCTTTAAAATTTGTGACATTTTATTATCCAAATTTTCGTTATTTGACGTTTAAATAACGCAAATTGTGTTTAAATTTTAAAAAAAAATTTTTATTTAACGGCATATCAACTCCTTATGGGTCATTTAATGCCGAAATTTCATTTTCTTGGGAGCTTTGGTAATTTTTTTCTTTTACTATTAAAATCTAGAATTTTTGTTTGTCACTATATAATTGTTGATCTTTTTAATATAAAATGTATTTTTTATTTTCATAATCTTCTGACCCCAGTTTGGGAGGTTCACAATTTGGCATAGATTGGAAACCCTAACAGGTGCTATCACCTCGGAAAAAGTGGACCTGGAAAACAACAACAAATAAAAGTTGGTTCTACGCTCCTTTTCCCTCTTGATCAGAATCCTTGCAAACTGATGTAATTTATCGTCACACTAATAGCTGGACAAAGCAAATATAAGATGATATGGAGATGAAACGTGTTTAAAGAATATATATATATATATATATATATATATATATATATATATATATATATATCGAATATATATAGGCCAATCAGATCAGTTTGGAAAAAAATTAGAAAATCTTTTTTAAAACTAAGTTTGAACTTTACAACAGCACATTTGATTTGAAGGTGAAGGTTTTTGCAGAACCATCCATACTTTTTGAAGGGCCGAATACAGAGACCTGGTGCACTACGTACCACAAGACCCCCAAAACGACCTTCGCAGGTTTTGAATTCAGAGTTTTCCTTCTCCTAGACCAGTTACCATCCAAGGCTATTAGAAC